TTTACATTTTGGTAGTATGCATATGTTTGTAGCAGATGTATCTGTAGTAACACAAGCAAATTATAGTTGGCAATATTTTTTTCCAGTAATATTGATACAGCACTAATGTTATGGCCGCTATCACATAACATTCAGTGTTACATACTTGACACACAATGTTGTAAGGTAACCGTGAGTTGTACAGCGGGGAAAAACACTTGTAGACAATTTTTTACTTGGTTTATCTAAATTTGTGCTAAATCTCAGTTAATGCAACTTTAATCAGTGATAGTTTTGTTGCAGCTGTAAGTTATGGTATAATTTGGCATACACAACATTGTTAGTGTGAAGTTATACCATTAGAGTAATGGGATATCACTCATTCATGTTTGACTCACCTGCCGATTTAACTTGTAGTCTGTCTCCAGTTTTCAAGGCTTTTGTACTCGTTGCCTCTTGTTTCCTGTGTGGTTAAACATGATTTAGTGTGCATGTAGCATCTGTGTGCAGTGTGTAACTGCAGAACCAATTTGCAAATTTCAGAGTGATTTGCATGTGTTCCTGGCAGACTGTGTGACAGGCCTAAAGTTACCACAGTTTACCCACTTCTCTATTGGCAAGCTTACTCAAGAATGGAGGTTTCAGTCATCTGCAGTTAGTTTTTAAAATTACTTTAATTTTACTTATGTACAGTTGATAGCTGCCTAGCAAGCTAGACATGCATAATGTCACTCTTTCTTCTGTCTCCGTCAGATCAGTGCAGCAGCACTGTTAAGACTGGTGAGAAGATGACAACCAGGAGTGTTCATGCTGTATGTTTCATACTCACTTCTCATGCTTCCCACTTAGCCCAAGTAGTTCTCATTTTGTGTCTGTCAGTGTTAACTTTGAAATGGTGTTTTGCAGTTTGGTAAGCCTACTATTGGCTGCATTTAAAAGCCAGACTGTATGAAGTCACTTTGTGCATCTGGGCAACCCTCCACAATCCAGTTATTTTTCATCTTTTACCATAAGCTATCATTGTGGTGTCCTTGGTGTTTCTGCTGGCTCCTCTGTTCCTCAGTGTTTCCACCATGTTTAAATCTGACTTAACTGTCTGCTTTCCTTTCCATTGTCATGACTCACAGGTGAAAAAGCAAATGTTAAGTGCCTCCTTTCACCCTGTTTCTGGAGGATTATAAGATGATGAAAACAAAACTTTTAAAGGCTGGTTACCCTTTGTCAGCATGCAGCAGTGCCACATTGTGTTCAGTCCTGCTCAGCAGCAGTAATTAAAGGTGTAACAGAGATCTCAGCTATCACATAGTGCTGTTCTGAGTGCCCTTGAGGCTGTTGCCAAGTATATGGATAGATGGATGGATGGATAAGAGGAACGAGATTTGGAGAGGAGAGCGGATTGTTGCATCTCTTTGACAGGGGCTTTGTGGTTGGCAGTTAGCTGAGGGGATGAGTGACAGTGGGTAGAAGTAAAATAGAGAATTGGTGTGATTTTGTAGAGTGGCTTTGGGTTGTAAAAATTTGATTCCTAATACTGTGCTCGTATTACAAGCCTTGATGATCACTTCCGATCTTTGTTAGATCTGATATTTTTCTGTTCATGAACTTGCAAAAGTCATATTTGCAAGTGACATGTATCCATTTGCAGTGTGACCATTGAACTCCTAAACTGCCACACATTCACAGACTTAATTGAAATGCAAGTTGTCACGTGTGTACAAAATAACATCTTTTGTGCAGCAGTCAAACTGGGCAGTTCCCTCAAGATGGAGATAAAAAAAAAAAAAAAAAAAACAAAAAAAAAAAAACATGAATTCCAATTTGGCTGTTCTGTTTTGGGTTTTTTTTCCATGGTCAGAGATTGTGTATGAATCAGATCTATGATCTCATATGGAAGTCAAGATCTGATTTGTAAAAATCTGACATCTTTGAAAAGATTCGATCTGACTCAGAAGGAAAAATGTGGATTTGAGTCACTTCAGCATGTCATCTTCGCCTGTCTTGCTCTTGTATTTGTTTGGCTGCGCTAGAAATGAAGCGGGTGGGTGTTTAGAGACAAAAAATGGTGTATGCCATTCTACAGTTAAATATCCTAAGTAAGTTGTGACTGACTGGAATATGAATGGAGAAGCAGAGTAATACAGTCTTGTTAGCCTCAAGTAGGTGAAATGCAGGAGCATGAGTTTGAAGTGTTGGAGATGTTTGAAGCATTGCCCACCTTTTAATCCTCACCTTGTGACTGCTGCCTGTGACACAGTGCTAAAGTCCAAGCCCTTTCTTTCCATTTCCCTCCCATTACATTGTGTACATAGTTGGCATAGTGATGGCCAGCTCTTGACCCCCCCACCCCCCGTGCTAAAGTCCAAGCCCTTTCTCTCCATTTCCCACCCACTACCCCCACTTCCATCCGCACTCTGCTGTTGCTCTGAGATGGTCCCATCCAGTTTGTGCTAGCTGAGTTTAGATCAGCAGGCACTTGGCACAGTTTGACTGACTGCTCTCTGGGGAGTTGCAGACCAGACATTACCTGCTCTGTAGGACATCCTTGTGAAGCATGTGTTGTCTCAGTATTGTGCATATTATTAGTTTTTGTTTTGGTGAGAGGTGCACCGCAGACCAGTAACTAAGGTTGGAATGTAAAAACTGTCATTGTGGCACATTTTAGAAATCTCTGTGGGCATAGGTTTACATATGCAGAAAGCTGACATTTTCGTTCTAATTAAACATGGTGCTGATTGTCCTTTAGTTAATAAGATTGGAGTGAACACAGGTAGCCAAAATGCTTGTGGATATCAAGATTATGATGTAGAAAGTTTATTAAACAAGCCTACTCATTTTTAACCTAGTAAACAAGGTATAAGTGCCAGGGTAATTATTATTTAAGAAATAATCCAGTTCTCTGTTGTTGTCCACCCATGATTCAAGTGAGTCAACCTCCAGACAAATGTGGCATTTACTCTATAGAAAAACTGGTTAATTTTAGTCAGAATTTATTAAGATTTTTGATTTATGGTGTACGTAGCATTACTATCTATCCATATACATATACAGTGCCTTGCGAAAGTATTCGGCCCCCTTGAACTTTGCGACCTTTTGCCACATTTCAGGCTTCAAACATAAAGATATAAAACTGTAATTTTTTGTGAAGAATCAACAACAAGTGGGACACAATCATGAAGTGGAACGAAATTTATTGGATATTTCAAACGTTTTTAACAAATAAAAAACTGAAAAATTGGGCGTGCAAAATTATTCAGCCCCCTTAAGTTAATACTTTGTAGCGCCACCTTTTGCTGCGATTACAGCTGTAAGTCGCTTGGGGTATGTCTCTATCAGTTTTGCACATCGAGAGACTGAAATTTTTGCCCATGCCTCCTTGCAAAACAGCTCGAGCTCAGTGAGGTTGGATGGAGAGCATTTGTGAACAGCAGTTTTCAGTTCTTTCCACAAATTCTCGATTGG